TAGAAAATGGAAGAACCACAGGGGACAGGGCGACTAGACTGTATTAAGGAGAGGATGACCGGGGCCATATATTGTGAGGTTTTGGGGAACAACCTCCTTCCCTCAGTTAGAACATCAAAGATGTGTCAACGCTGGGTCTTCCAACATGACAATGACTTGAAGTACACTTCCAGGATAATCAATGAGTGGCTCTGGAAGAAGCATAATCAAGGTTCTGGCGAGGACTAGCCAGTCTACAGATCTAAACCCAAAAGAGAATTTTTGGAGGGAGCTCAAACTCTGTTTCTCAGCAACAGCCCAGTAACCTGACTGATCTAGAGAAGATCTGTGTAGAGGAGTGGGCCATAATCCCTGCTGCAGTGTGTGAAAACCTGGTAAAAAAAACCCAAAAAACTACAGGAAACGTTTGACCTCCTTAATGGCAAACAAAGGCTTCTTTACCAAATATTAACATTGCTTTTCTCAGGTGTTCAAATACTTATTTGCAGCTGTGTCAAACAAATAAATAGTTAAACAATCATGCATTGTGTTTACAGGATTGTTTTTTTGACAGTGCAAATGCCGCTACGATGACAATTTCAGACTCCTGCATAATTTCTAAGCGGGAGAACTTGCAAAAATAGCAGGGTGGTCAAATACTTATTTTCCTCACTGTATTATGACATTATAAGGGGAACAGAGCATTTTTAGCACACATTAGCTAAATGAAGAAAGGCGATGATAGAGGTGAAAGATTTTCAATTAATTTGTGAATATCATACCCAGGCTGCAGGACACACATGACCGTTACAATTTGTTTATAATGTACATTTTGCAGAATATGGGACCTTTAAGTGCAAGGATCTGATGGAGAGAATGTCTTTATTTTCTCAGCTAAAAACTTTAAGAAGTCAACCAATTTAGGTATTTTAAGGAACTGTGAGGCACTTTTTTCATAAAGATCTGAATGACCTGTTAAAACCTTTTATATTTAAATAAAAGTCTTTTAGCTAAGCTGTAAATTCCAGTCATTGGGATATTTAAATTAGTTCCTTCTCACAAGCCTTTTTGAATAAAAATTAAAGACATAATAGAAAACTATATGCAATCCAAGAGTAATAAACAGGTTTTCTTGGGCTTTAAAAGTAAGAACAAGATGACCTAACAAGACCTATTTTTAAAAATATATCACTTCTGCATACTTTTGTAAACAGATTTTCAGAGCGAAAGAAACACCTAATTATTAGACTGGCTCACCCACTTTTGCAAACTTGAATCTTTTTGTGAGCCATAAACAAACTGCAGAAAAAAAAGACATTTCGAAGCATACCGTTAAAATACCACAAACATTAATCAAGAAATTAATCACTACCTGAATGTTAATGAAGCCATCAGTGCTGTGCAGCTCTCCTAGAAGGGCTGAAACAAGTGAGGATTTCCCTGATCCCACAGCTCCCACTACAGCTACCAGTCGACCCGGCTTAATGTCCAGAGACACACTGAAAATCAAAGTCAGAAAAAATATTCTATACACTCCAACATATACAAACATTAATAGGGAATTAATTTTGTGGTTATATTCTGTCATAAAAAGCATCATAAATAAATATGTGTGTGTGTGTGTGTGTGTGTGTGTGTGTGTGTATGTGTGTGTGTGTGTGTGTGTGTGTGTGTGTGTGTGTGTGTGTGAGCAAGGTGGCCTACAAATCTAGCAAAAGATTATAAGAAGAAAAAAAAAAACTCCTACTACACTCTGTTATTCTGGCATACAATAAATAGATAAAAATGGAACTCCAAAATGAAATTGATTGATTTAATATATTATGGTTTTAACTGCATAGGAACAAATTCATAGTAAACCCAACAGACTTACTCTTTTAGGACAGGTTCAGAGTCTTTTCCCCATGCAAAGGAGCCTTTTGTTATGCTGACAGCAGAGTCTAGGTGAGAAAAGTAGATCAATGCATATAAACAAAATCACAAATTAGACAGATTTGGTCCACATATAATCTCAGGATAGATAACTTACCAACATCTGGGTTGTGACGCACAGTGTCACTGTCAAGATCATCTCCTCCCAGAAACTTCTCCAATCTCTTCTTAGACACTGTTGTCTGAATTATGAATGAAACATGCAATTTGAGTTTTATTACAGCTCTAAATGGGTGTAGATACAGCAGTTAACACCATTTATTTACCTGCACAATTGAAGCAATGAGCATAGGCAGCATGGCCAGTGGAAATCGAAGGATGTTGAACAAAGAGATTGAAGTGAAGGCTTTTTCTGGAGTTAATATGTTCTCTGAGCTTACGCCAACAAATACAGCAAATGTGACCAGAGAAACCTGTTTGGAAACCAAGTACAGTCAAAATTGATATCAAGCACAGTTAAAGTCTATTACTCACTTTTTAAACATCTAACGTGACTCACCAAAGCAGGGGCACAGGTGAAGATGAAAGTGGAGACGGAGGTGAGATAAGCAAACCTCTTCATGACCTTCAACTCTTTTTCTCTGATATCTTTAACTTGAGTCTGGAAGGATGGCTCCCATGCAAACAGCTTTAGAATCTTATATTTTAAAAATAAGAAAGAAGGAGAATGAGAGAAGTTGAAGCGGTCTAACCATCTGAAAATAGTTACAGAATCCTAATTCCATTTTTATAAATAAGATAAATTGTATATGGAAGGTGCTGTACAATGCTAAAAAAGGTCAAACTATTTCACATTGAAACAGATAAATTGGATTACCTTTATTCCATTGAGCATTTCATTCATTATCTTCAATCTCTTGTCTTTGAACTTCATGTTTTCTACCTTAAAAGAGATATAATGCATTTCATTATCAACCTCAGGTTTTAAATAAAAACTTCAGATAAAAATGAAAATCGGCGATCTAGTAGAGTGGTTGAGGGTTTCTACAATCATTCAAAGCCATTTATAAAATAAAGGTTTGATAAATTGGGTCTAAGATCAAGACTAGACCCTAACAATGTGACTAACAGTTAAAGCCATTTTCTTGTATGTCTCCGTGTGTTAGCTCTTAAAGCCCTACCCGACTAAGCCTTACAAATTTCCTAAAATATGTTGAAATCCTGGAATTCATTTCAATCAAGAATGGCTTCATCTCTATTGTGTTTGTCTTTTCCCACAACATATTTACCCTCCACTCAACATTAATTACTATGTCTTCATACAGCAACCACCTTCTATTAGAAGGACCTTACAAGTCTTTGAAATTTTAAGCCTTCCCTGATTGTGCTTATTATTATTTCTGATCTAAATATTTATTTAAATCCTGGTCTTATGTAATATTCTGAATTACATTTTCTTTAGCTGTAAAACATAATCATTAAAACTAAAATATATATCACACTATAATGTTTCAGGGCAAACTACTCAAATGATGCTTATTTTCAAAAATACCAAAGCTGGCTAAGATTAATTTAGTGTTGCAGGTTGGCCGGATGAAACTGTCTTTTCTTTTACATTTACCTGAATTTTTCTGGCCTTGGCAGCCAGCAGTCCATTAATTGGCGCCAACAAAACCATTACTGCAAGCCCTGCCAGTGTTGAAGGTCCCAACTCCATCCACAGGAAGACAATGGAAACAACGATCTGCAGAGGGCAGGACCACAGCAGGTGGATAAAGTTGGTCACGTCGTTAAAGCGCTGGGCATCTGCTGACATGAGGTTCACTGTTTCGCCAACTGTTGACTCTTTACGGTTATCATTGGACATCACCAACGCCTTTAAAAGAGAATAAGACAAAAAGGAAAATTAAGTTGGAAAAAAAAGCATGGTATCACTTAATTAACACCAGTTAAAGGAATATATAACATGAAGCATTGTGTTCATAGAAAAAAAAAAACAACTGTTTCTGATGCAGCTAAAAATAATCATAGGTTAAAACACATTTCCTAGTATAAAGACTAGATAAGTTAAAGTATTTTTTAGTACATTCTGCTGTCTGTACAGTAACCCATTTTTAAGAACTGGTATGAGCTGGTTAATCAGTCCTGCTCTCTGCTGTGGTAGCCACTCCTTCAGTCAGCTGCTAAACAGATATGCTGATCATAGCTTGATAATAACCTTTAAAAACTTTATTGTAAGCTACAGTAGCTAAACATTTTTTTTTACTATAGCTACGAATGTTTCCTACAGCCAGAAAAAAATGATAATTCTGCGTTCTTAGCTATCTTATCAAAATAGCAATAAACTTTTATTTGTTTTTTTGCAGGTTTGAACTTTCTGTGAAAAAAAAAACTGTTATACACAGTATTCTTGAAACCCCATGTCGGTCATGTTAAGAAAAAAAAAACCTTGCTACCTAGCATATGTCAAGCTTTCAGTTCTTTTGTTTGTTTTTTTACCTTTTTGTACACGGCAGCCATGAGAGCAGTTCGAACTTTCATCCCCAAAACAAAGCATCGTTGAAAATATTGCTGCAATGTCAAAGATTGCAGAAGAGCCACCACCAGCAGCAGCACTGCATACAAATATCCTTCCCAGACATAGCTGGATTTGTCCTGGGTGAAGGAGATCATCAACCTATGTAAGGTAGAAAAAAAAAACATCAGAAAAAATAAAAATCAAAGAGTACAAATTTGCATAAATCCACCTTTGTACAATATCATGTGGGCAGCTTCTTTAACCGAGAAGAGTTGCACTGCATAGCTTCATGAGTTGGCAATGTGGGTGAAGTGTCATGCCCAAGGACAGAATGATGAACAGACTAAGCTGGGGTTTGATTCTCAGACTGCAGGACTAATTCCTTTGATCTAAAGAACATTTCATTGTGTTTAGATAAGAGGTTTGTAATTTGACTGCACTGAAGAACCAAATACTTGAGGCAGATCCACCAGAAAAGTAACATAGAGTATCTCTACTGTTTACATAATGACTGTAGCTGCTAAAATGTTATATTTTAGGCTACTGGTTGCGTTCTCTAATGGTAGGGTTTGGCCTTTTAATGAAGAATATGCAGGTCTTACTTGGACTTATTCTAAAAGCCATTTATTTCCATAAGCTCCTCTATTTCCACAAAATAAAACAACATAAATTGAAACCAAGCACAGTAGAAAACCGTTTGCCCCTTTTCATTTAGCAACACCTGAACACAATGACACTTGACCTTAAATAACCCCATCCCCCTTCCAACATAATCAAAGCACTAAAAGAAATGCACCCCCTTGTGGATATAAATACAGAAATATATTTTTTATAAAACTTTGCAAAGGGTCCATACTAAGTGTTTACGTACCGGAAACATCAGATTTTGGAGTATACCCAAAAGAATTACAATTTATAAAATAGTGTGCACGCACAAGAGCAAGCCACGTTAACCTTAAAGATGGAGGTAAATGTTTAATTGAAAGGGCTCCGGAGTCATAGATTACCATCAATACTTGAGCCTTGAGATATTCAGATACTAATGACTAAACAGCACAGCATCTATCATGTTTAATATGTGTAAAAAATGGCTTCATCGTTGCTACAACATCTATAGATGTTTTCCAATCTTTTGTGGGTTATACTGTGGCATCAGAATATCTTCCCTCTTTTGCCCATATTAAACATGTAAATGATTTATATCTATAATTTATGAATATATTTTGAATTCTATATGTTTCTTGGACTCCAGGCCAGCTGATTATCTTTGCATTCGTTCCTCCAGCAATAAAACTGGACCCTGATTGTGCATGATACAGCATGTGAGTGATATTCACTATAGCTGATGACGGGAATGGCTATGTCAGCGTAGCTATGGATGTATATATATATATATATAGATGTGGGACAACCAGACTGCTTTGCAAAAAGGTCTTTCAATCACTGATCACTGGCATTACCCAAAACCTTCTGGCAGCTGCATTTTCTTTTCTTTGAACAGAGTTTCCTTTATGTTTTTTGTATACTTAAATCCTTGAGGTGTTCCGTTTTATTTGAGGAGCTACAAAAGCTTAAAAGACTGTTTTACAAATAAGACCAGTTCAATAGTTCTGTTTAATTTCAAAGCTCCTGATAAAATGCATAAACACATTTCAAATCTTATTTATTTTGATGTGAAAGCCCAAAGAACAAAAGCTTGACAACAAATACTTTTCTTGGGAACTTGATCTTATAATAACGTGTTTAAAATTGAAACAAAAATCAAATGTCCTATGATTAGTATCCCTAATAAAATTTCTTTGAGTGTTGGGAAAGTATTCCCATCATATTCTAGATACATTTTGTCGATAATCAGTAGCAACCATCTAGCTCAACTCAGACAACGATGGCAACTCCATATAAGGTGAAAAATGTAGAAAAAATAGGTGCGTGCGGACTGCAGTTCTGTTTTCTGGCCACTGGTGGCAGTATCATTAGAAAACTCTATAATGCTCCTTAACTACCTTTCACATTTTTGTATTATTAGAACAATTAATGTTTGGAAGGTTGCTTTAAAAAAAATAGCTAGTTATGGTAATTTATCTCTAAAAATAATTTGGTATTAACTCCTTGAAATGTGGTTGGTGGCCACACAAAGTTAACATAATGGCAACAAAATCTAATAACAGAGAGACTTGGGCTGCTCTGCTGATTGCCTGCACCTGTTTCTCATCAGCTCAAGACTACTAGTAGTTGGCTACCAGCACATCAATGCCAGAGTGTTAACCTTAAATGGTTTTCTAGCCCTCCTGAGTCCTTACATTGTTTTCCCTGGTTTCTCTACTCTCACCTTGTTAGGGGGGCACTGCTTTAGGCCCCTTTGTTCTCTTCAGGAAAATAAAGCCTTTGGATTTTGTTCCTGAGCAATCTTCTTACACCACAATTCTCTACGGACTAGTTGTGATCTCTTGGTGCATCTACTGGCTGGCAGCTACAGACTCCTCTCCACAGTTTACAGTTAAACCTGATCCGCCCTCCACCGTGCTCACAAGACTCTCCTTCCTCCTCTGTCCCAACACTTAGACCACATCTCACTCCTCCCAGGCGGAATCATCTCATCTTCCAAAGTCTCCTGGTTCCCCTGCTTTCGGCAACGTCAACTACCTTGGTAATACTTATTTTCTGTGTAAATAAACATTTAAAAGACTGCATTGTCTCCTGAAAGTGTTTTGCATGTGGGTTAGACAAATACCTGAAACCATGACAACTTGCTGGCCATTTATTGATGGAACCACACTGGATATCAGCTATAGAAGAAAGAATCTCTTATTTTTATTTTAAAAGAATAATGCTTCTACCATCACTGTCACTGCCCCTTTGATAATCCACCTTTCTGATCTGTGCAAGTTTAAATAAAATTTTGATGCACAAGCTGTGTTTATATAGTCAAGAAGGATTCCCCTCTCTTTGTGATGGGAGAAGGGATTACAAAATTTGATGAAATACCACTCCACGATGTGTTTTGTCCTGAACTTGAGGCTCTTGCCATAGAATTTTTTTTTTTTTTTTTAATTTGCATTTGTAAAAAAAGAGTTTGTTTCACGTTGTCTTCCATCAGAATTACCAACCTTTTCTGGTTTGTATCAATAGCCGACTAATAACCTGATGCCTTGTCTGCTTGCAATCTCCATATTACCCACTCTAATTACAGTTGAAGTGCTGTGCACATTTGAAATTGACATTTACAGAAGTTAAAAATAACCAGTGAACAAATTATATTTGTGTTATTTTACTGGCCATGATTTTTTTTTTAACTCCTTGGTGAGGTAATTAAAAATGAACAATGTATTGGAGAGAGCAATTAGATCATCTTATGCTGGGGAAGGGGGTATGCTTCTTCTCCCACTGCCCTAGTGTTATCAGTGTATGCTTTGAGAAATCAATGAGTAGTAAATAGTTAAACTACACGTTTAGACATTCAGTAGGTCAAACTACAGAGCTGCAAAAGCTTTGAATCGAAATTGCTCTGATCTTAAAAACAAAAAAAACCTGTTTGTGTGAGGCATTGTTTTATATATAAAGATAAAACAGCGTATCTTATTTATGACAGAAGAGATTCTTACATGATAAAAGGTAAGTACACATCATACTGAAGTTCAGTTTTAAGAAAAAGGAACCTGATTTAGTTGCACCTATGCTGCTAAATAAAAGACAATCAAGAAAAACTAAAATATTCATTTGGTTATTTTTTTATAACTGTGACTTACTTTAGGAGTTGAGGACTGACAAAAGTCAGAAGGTCCTGCACAAGTTTGTAGAAGGCAGATTCAATCAGAATCCCTTTAAATGTTTTGGAAATGGTGTTAACCAGCCATGAATTTGGATAATCTGTTTTCTCCTTCTTCTTTTTCTCCTTTTTCTTCTTTTTATCATCGTCTTTTGTTCCCTTTTCCTCCTGTTGCAAAAAATGTAAGTACATTCTTTAGGAACACGGGAAAATATTGAGAACACCTAAAAGAAAATTTAGATGATTGCTAAAAATAAAGTGATCTTGGAATTAAAAGTCAGGGCGGTCCTTTGGAGTATTTAAAGGTTCTCACCATCATCAGTACATCCCGACTCACACCTTTCCCCAGACCATTGCTTTGAGGGACGTCTTCCACTGTTTTTCCTTGGTTTTTGATCAATCTGTTCTTCAGCTTTTTTTGTAATCGGATCCGAGCTAGACCCAACTCATACATCATGTGTTGATTGAAACGCTGACTGATGTAGGTGGTGTTGTCAGCCTCATTCAGATCCCACATGTCCTCCTGAACCAGGGGTTTTTTGTAGCCCTTCAATGCCATGCTGGAAGAACAAGATACAGCCTTATATTGAGGACCAAGGGCACATTCCATTGTTGTACATTATAAAAGGGCTATTTTCACAAGCTGCTTTGCATTTTTGTTTATTTTTTCCAATTTTATCTATCTATATGATATCCTGTTCATTTGTTGCACCAGCAGATTTTACGTATCCAATTTACCTGTTAAACCAGTTAAAGGTGATTCTGCTCAAGAACGCTGCACCAGCCTCTGGATTCTGCAACAAACACCAGAAGTAATATTATTAATTAATTTACTGTGAGAAAGTTATGGAGCTAAATTTGTCTCAATTTTCACAAATACACATATGTGATTTATACATGCACAGTACAAGCTCAACACACACACAGCAAGATTCACGCAAGCACAAAACATCCACACTCACACAGTACAAGATCCACACACACACAGCACGATTCATGCAAGCATATCAGATTCACCCTGCACAGCACATGACTC